GCTGGGGATACAGGAATGAACAAAACAGTGTCTGTGCTATTAGGAGTTCTGGGAGAAGGGAGAGAGATAGTAAATAAAAGATCAGTTAGTTATATGTGAGGTAGTAAGTTCTATGAAGAAAGCTATACCTAGTCTCTTTCCTGCAGTTCACCATATTTCACCACCTTCCAAAGCTGAATAGGAATGGCTTTTTAAATGTCAGCTTTTTAAAATATCTCAAATCCTGCTCACCACGACAGATATTTCTGTATTAATCAAATAATGATGGTAGACTGTAAGTGAAGTATCACTCCCTCCTTCCCCTAGTTTTATCTATTCTAAAAACCTTTAACTTGCTATATTTTGTGTTTGTTTAAACGTGTTCAATTTTTTATCTACTTTAGTTCTACGGTGGCATACCCTTCTCATATGCTCCTTTGCTACTTCACCCATTGTTTTATGACATTTAGTTACGGTCTTCATTTAAAAAATTATACTTAATTATTGATATTCATAGAAAAATGAAAACCTTGAACTTGTAAGAAGTTCTCTAAAATTAATGATGTGAAGAATTCTTCCATATATATGATTTTCCTTTTTTTGTGGTATTATACTTACTTTTCATTGATGTTGAACATTTTTATATTTAATACGCTCACAAAAATAAATGGTGTTTTACTAATTTCTGTCATTTAAATTTATATAAATGTTCCGGTAGAGGTAATCTCTGTCTTGTAACTTTCCTCAGCGAACATACTATTCAGTAGCCACCGGAATCAATTTGATCTCCCACATTTATTTTATTTAATTAAATTAATGATTATTATAATCTTATTATAGTATTAAGGATTTATGTGGAATGAATAGGAAGTTGGTAAACTAAATATTATATATTACCACTAGAGGGTAGTGTTTCTAATTTATATTTCTACAAATGTCCTAGTTTAGTCTGACAAATCACACTAGTGATAAAAGTAAACCTTTATTTTAAAAGTACCTTTTTTAATAATCTTAAACAGGTCCTCAAAAGTTTTCATTAGTTACTCAATGGAGACATTGAATAGATTAATATATTTACTTTTTAATCCAAATTTTCTCTTTAGCCCATTATTCCTATGTTTACACAAAATATTCGAGAAGGATTTAGATCACTTGGAGGAACAAGTAAGTTCTGGTTCATTTGGTTTTTCTAATGACAGTGTAATATTTATAACATAATATTTTATTTTTGTTTTTTACTTTTATAATACAATATTTTAAATATTTGGGCTTTGAACTCTATGTAGTTTCAAAATTTAGATTTTTTCTATTTAGATTTTTTTTATTTAAAGACTAAATGATAATGTTCTAAGTAATGGCAGCTCTTAGATGTTAGGTTTTTGTCTTATGTACATACTGAAGCTTATTTGTCATTGACTTTTTAAAATTACCCCGTAAATTACCTATTTACTTTTGTTAAAACATGTTGGTCAAGGTTAGGAGAAATTTACATATAACTTAGACCATCTTCTTACCTCACCCCTGAAGAAGTTATAGCTTTAAAAATGAAAGACAATAATATTGAAGTAAGATGAACAACCAAAGAAGATATAATTTGCCTTGGTTTATTGGTTACTTTTTTAAAAATATGTTTTTATTGATTTTTAGAGAGAGAGAAAGGGAGAAGGATAGAGAGATAGAAGCATTGATGTGAGACATCTATTGGCTGCCTCCCGCACTGGGAATCGAGCTCACAACCCAGGCATGTGCCCTGACCGGGGGATTGAACCAGTGACCTCTTGGTTCATAGGTCGACACTCAATCACTAAGCCACACCAGTTGTTACTTTTTAAATTTGTTTGTTTTTAAAATATTTTGAACCATGATACGTTAACTTCTTTTTGCCGACCTTCAACTTATTGGTAGCAAAATAAGCTCTGAATCTAGTTATAGGAGTGATAATTAGATATACTTTTTCCTGCAGTGTCTTGTTTTCTTTTGAAAATTTCAGTTTGTTTTTATATCCTATGCTTTATGTATTACATTTGGTTGATTGTTATTTTAAATCCCTAGCACTATATTGTTAGTGTTTATATCCACAAGCTTCTGTTGTTTCTTTTATGCCCAATATTGACGTACTGTTGGTATTCCATTACATTTTATAGGTCCTTTCTTTTTTTTTCAAATTTAAAGTGGAAAGGCAGGTTGATGAGATGTTTAATTTTTGTTGTGGAATTATTTCTTCTAATTTTCTCTCAGATCATTTCTTCAGAATTTAAGTTGCATACCAGAAATTATCCCTAATTTTACTTCTTTAAATGCAAAGTGGTTTTAAAATTCTTTCTTACTACTTTTTAATGTTTTTTACTTTAATAGTTGAATATCTCAAACATTAGTGTCTAGTGATTTTATTTTTAGTATTACTTTGCATCTTATGGTGTATTCTGTTTTTTGATATATATAAACAGTGTTTTCAAATTCCAGTACAACTTATGATTATGTATTACATGTTGCTTGACTTTATTGGATTTATTTTCTTTAAACTTCGCCTTAAATTTTGTCAGTTTATTTTGCATTATTGCCACTTTTATCTTGCTAAATTTTATATTGATCATTACCATTAGTAATTCTTTGTTACATTTTTTCCTAATTTACAATCATGTTTTAGTCTTTACCTAGTTTATTGATGCATTTTTAGTCTCACATGTTTATGTGAATTTATTTTATGCTTCCATTTTTTCCTCTTTTTTCATGTATATCACATATTTTGAGTCTCTAGTCTTTTTAGTTTCTAGTTTTGGGTTCAGTCTTTACCCTTTATTTTGCAATAATAGTACTTGGTTTGCCTTTAAAATCCTCATATTTTTAAAAGCTCATTTAAAAATATTAATAGACCTTGTTTTTTTGAGAATTTTTAAGTTTACAGAAAAATCAAACAGAAAGTACAGAGTGTACCAATAAACCCCCTCATCCAGATTTTTCTATTAATGTCTTGCACATTTGTTACATCTGATGAAAAGCTCGTCTTTAAAAAAATATTAATTGCCAAGAGATGATACTATTTGCTACTTTCCTCTAAACCTTACATAATTGAGAGTTTGCAGTTACATGCTCAGAATTTGTAACCAATTAAAATGATTTTGTTTACTTTAAAACAGGGTTATTTAGGTGGCTTTATGAAAAATTCCGCTATCCATTTGCTCCAATATATGGAGGTTTTCCAGTGAAGTTTCGTACCTATTTAGGTGATCCCATTCCATATGATCCAAAGTTAACAGCAGAAGAATTAGCTGAAAAGGTAAATTATTCTTTCTTAGTCCTTGTATAGATTTTTTTGACTTTCAATTATTAAATTAAAATGAATTCATTAATTCATTAATTTATTTTACAAGTATGCTCTAGATCAGTGGTGATTTCCTCCCCAGGGCGCATTTGCCAATCTGGAGACATTTTTCATTGTCACAATGGGCCAGACTTGGGAAGTGGTGGTGCTACTAGCATCTAGTGAGTAGAGAGGTCAAGGATGGTGATGACCATCCTGCACTTCCTGGGACAGTCCCCCACTACAAAGAGCTTTCTATTCTAAAATGTGACAAGGTCTATAGACATTGCCATATGTCGCCTGGGGCATAAAATCGACCCTGGTTGATAAGTACCGTGCTAAGGTATTATGGAAGCACAAAGGAAAAGTATCTGAATGAGATCAGGAACACTTCAACGGGGATGATGCTTGAATTCTATTTGGAAAGACATGAAGGGATTAACTGGACAAGGAGTAATGAGGTAGAGGAAATGGAATGTATAAACGGATGACAACATGAAATAACCTGAACTCTCTGGGGAGTTGAAGGTAGTCTGGTATAGCTAGAAGGAATATTGTAGGAGATGAGGCTAGAAATTTAGGAAGTTTCTGGGCTATGATGGCTTATCATTGATTTGTTCACGGAAAGCTGGAGAGCTATTTAAGGCAGATGAGTGTTATAATAGGTTTGCATTTAGAAAGATTCCTAGAAGCAATATGGAGGCTAAATTTCAGTGATACCAGTATGAAGCTCAAAGGGTAAAGAGACTGCTTTGTGAGGGAAAAAATGGGAAAACTTTCTAGAATGAGGGCATTTGAAGTGGGTCGTGAAAGTGGGCATGTCCTAGACATGCAGACGTGGGGCAGGAGGCAGAGTATGAACAAAGCGGCAGTGGTAGGTGCTAAGCTGACTGCATGTACAACAGTGTCCAGCGTCCAGTGTGATTAGAACAGCAGGTGGGGAGTGACTGCCTAGTTCCCTTCTAGGAATTTTGCAAAGCACATTAACATATTAGAGATTCTAAGAAGGCTTGCAATAAGTGGTCTATTTAGCTTTGTTTCGAAGATCATTTTCAGCTCTCATTCTATCAAAACCCTATCCCTGTTTTTCCTTGAAGAGCACTTAATAACAGCTGTGGAATAGACTTGGCGTCACTAGCTCAGTGGATAGAGTTTGATCAATGAAACTGGAAAAGCAAGTTGGAGCGACATTTTTAGGCCCTTAAATACAGACTAGCGGATTTTTCTATTAAAAACATTTCAATTGGAATAGGCCTCTGCTTGGAAGTGGTTCATATCAGTTCCACTTAAATTGTTTTTGGCCAAAGCCAGCAGATATGTAATCTCTTCCTCTACAATGGTTTGTGATGATGCTAGCAATTGTGATGCCTTAGATGTATAAAAATTAAAGGGCCCTTTTTAAGAGCAGAGGTTATGCTATGAATTTTTGTGTCTCTAGTTCCTAGTACAGTGGTAGGTATTTAATTGATCTCAATAAAAGTTTGATGAATGAATGAGTTAGATAATGATCTTATCTACTTGAAAGGTAGAGCAAGATACAGATTTGAGGGATTTTACAGAGAGAATGCATCAGGCCTGAAAGCTAATTCTGTGTAGTTACTTGCAGGATATCTGTGCATATTTTTACATGTGTAGGTTTTTGTAACTGTTTTACTGAGGTTTGGGAAAGAAGTCAGAATTGGTGATGAAGATTTAGAAGTCATTTGCACTGAGGTAATTACTGAAGCCATGAGCTTTACAGAATAGTTTAGAGAGAGAAAGAACAGGACTGAGGACAGACTGTAGAGGATGATGTAACATTCAAGGAACAGGTCGTGGAAAACAACCAAAGCTGGCTGAAAGAGAAGTAGCAGAGAGGTGGAACAAGTAAATTTGTGTGAGAGAAGTCAGCAGGTGGCTTTTTAAAAAAATAGGAAAGATCAGTCACATCCATTCCTGCAAAGAGATCCAGGAAGATGAGATAAGACCACTCAATTTGCTATTATACTTTTCAGAGAGTATGAAATATCATAAGAAGCAATAAATGTCATATTATTGAATCACCTAGAAAATGGGATGAATGTGTTCTGACTTTTCTATCAACCTATTGTATACATAGCTTGATTTTTTAAAAGTTTTTAAATTTGTGGTAAATACATAACATAAAATTTATCAACTTGACCATTTTTAATTTAGGTGTGTGGTTCAGTAGAGTTAAATATACTTACATTGTTGTGCAACTGATCTCTAGAACCTTTCCCTCTTGCAGAATTCTAGCCAGACCCACTAACTCGTCATTCCTTCAGCACACGCTTTCCTGTGGTCTTTCCTCATGCTTTTCCCTTCACTGTTATTGAAATGTTACTGGTCCTTGGACACTCAGACCAAACAGTACCTCGTTAGTGCGTCTTTTTCTGGTTGTTGCCCACCAAATGGGCTCACAAGGTGGAACTTCCAGATACTTTCCTTCGCGCTGGCCGGTGTGGCTCAGTCCGTTGGGTGTCATGCCTTGCACTGAGAGGTTGCGGGTTCCGTTCCCACTCAGGTTGTGTGCTCGATCCCCAGTAGGGGGCATGCAGTAGGCAGCCAGTCGATGTTTCCCTCTCCCTCCCTCTCTCTCTCTCTCTAAAATCAATAAAAAACATTTTTAAAAACTCAACAAATACTTTTTCTTCTCATCTCAGATGACACATGTCACAAATGATCTTACATTTTAATTACTTGGTATTTGATTATGCTTGTTAACGTATGCGCTCCTTGAGATGTGAGACTTGTTTCATTGATGTTCTAGCTTCCAAAGCACCTAATATTTTTTGAATAAGTGTATAAAAATGTAAAATATACTTCACAGAACATAATCTGTGTGTTAGTCACTGGGCCAAATACCTGAAGACATAGTTTCAATTTCATTTCATCCTTATAATAATTGTATGAAATATTTCTCATTTTACTGAGTTATGAAAAATTTTGGTTTAGAGAGGCATATTTTTAAAATACGTCTTTGGGATAGGGTGTATTAGTTATTTTTAAGAAGAGAGGAAGTTTCAGAATTTGTATAAAGGCTCATTGAAAGGTGTGAGTGTGCATAAAACATTTTTTTAGATAGCTACAACTAATTTCAAAGTGAAAATTGTTGAAATTTGTGATGAATGGGAAACAGTTTTAGATTTCTTCTTATATCCTAATTGACTTTTCCATTGTTATGACTTAATTTAAATTCCTGTTAAACTGTCTAGAAATTTAGGTAATGAACCAAAGTATATCAGCTCACTCATTCATTCGAAAGTTTTCCTCACTTCTTCATTTTTCATTGTCTGATATAATTTTTTGGTGTGTATGGTAATAAAGGAAAAATGTACAACAGTTTACTAATGGATTGTAAGGCGTGAAACTTCATTTGGCTATTAGAAAATTTCTTGCTACTTTTTTTTCTGATTTTTTCCCCTTAGTTATTTAAAAAAGTGTTGAGTGCAAGGCATTGCTGTGCTCAATGCTGGGGAAATGCTGTGTGGAAATATCCATTTGGACAATCATGTAATTCAAGCATAATAGGTATAAAGAAATATACTATGGTTGTACTAAGACGGAAACCATTAATTCTGAAGAGAGATGGGTGCTAAATTAGGGAGGACTTCTTGAAAGTAGTAGTACATTAAAATCTTTACAAAATAGATGATCTATATTGAGAACTAAAAGAATAATGGCTTTTCTTTTGTTTTCTTAATAGACAAAGAATGCTGTTCAAGCTTTGATTGATAAGCACCAAAGAATACCAGGAAACATTATGAGTGCTTTGTTAGAACGTTTTCATAAAAGTCAAAACAGCCACTAGAAGACGATTTAATATATTTATATTATTATGTTTTTGTCTGTGGTACTGTCTTTTAAATTTTGTAGGTTTCATAATTAGTATTTTTGTAAAAATCATGTTAAAAGCATCTTTTGTTGAACTTGTTTAAATTGTAACATACATTTTGTTTTATTCAGTGTGTCATATTTAAACAATAACTCATTACATGCCTAACAATTAAGAAAATGATCTTGTTTCTTATAAATTCCTAATAATGTATGATATAGATTATTAGAATTAAGTTTATTAACAGCAATTTAGGTTAAACAAACATTCCTAAA